GGTTTAGATATAGGGTTTTAGGGTTAGGGGTAGAAAGGATTAGGTTTGGGGTTCAGGGTTGGGGGGGTTTGGAAAGATTAGGGCTCCCTTTTGAGGAGCCCCTATGCACATGAACCCTAAAATGATCGTATCTTGAGGTCTGTATATTTGCTGACATGGAAGCTAGAAACTGGCTTGCTTGGTTCACCACTTCACTCCTGCAATTATAACGTATTTCCACTACATACACAGGACACTTTTACTAAACATCTTCTCAAGAAATTTCACGGTACATACTGGACCCCAACTCCCAACGACCCCCAAACCCTGTACCTCTGAACACCCACATCCTAACACCCCCAAACCTAACCCTAAACCCTAAACCCTAAACCCCTAAACCCTAAACCCCTAAACCCTAAACCCCTAAACCCTAAACCCTAAATCCTAACACCCCCAAACCTAACATCCCCAAAACCCCTAAAAGGGCGCTGGGGCCCCCGGGCTCTTCGCGATGCTCCTCGTTGTGACGGGAGCGACGGGCAACTTCTGCGCCGCGCCGCCAAAGGCCGAAAACCTGTAGAAGCTGCAAGGGTTTGGGGTTTAGGGAATTTAGGGTTTAGGGTCAAAACTCCTAGTATCCCCCTTAAGAACTCCTATATTAATCACCTATACAACCCCATCTAGACTATAGCGCATGTAGGGGCCTTACTATAACCCTTTGTCTTGGGACCCTAATTAAAACACTACCCCTAATTTTTGGAAACCCGCATGTAGGGTGTAGGGATTTGGGGTGTAGGGCTTTAGGATTCAGGGCTTGGGCTCCAAGGTGGGAGTTTAAGGCCTAGGGTTTAAACATTCGGGATGTGGGCTTCAAGGGTTTCTTTACTCGGGCCTTTGCACCCTAAACCCTAAACACTAAACCCTAAATCTGAAAGCTAGAAAGCCATCAAGCCAGGCCAGGGTATTTACATGACCTCAAGCAGAAAGGCTAACATGTTCCCTCATGATGCCCCTACCAGCATCCAGGTCACAACAAAAGCCATGCGGCAAGACTTCAGGAAAGGCATCAGCCCCCAAATCAGGCCTTTACAGACATGTACAGGTCAACATACTATAGTAGTTTCCATTTTGTTTTCCATAATCCCTATAAGACCCCAATATACTTTAGCAGTTGCAATTTTATTTTCCATTATCCTTATGTAACCCCTATAACAGCACGGCACCTTCAGTCCAAGCATCCCCGACAGCCCTCAACCCCATTTATGCACAATCCAGCTCTTTCAGAAAACCCGGACCACGCGCAGGAATTGGTGTTTGGGGTTTGGGGTTTAGCGTTCAGGGTTTGGGATTTCGGGTTTGGGGTCCCAAATAGTAGGCTGTCTAGTGTAGTATATTTCAATGTCAACTTTTAAATGGGAAGGCATGTAAAAGAAGACGGTGGCGAATATAGCTGTTAAAGGCTTGGGGGCCTCCCGGACCCCAGGGACTAAAGGTTGAGATTCTGATTTCACTTTTGTCGTTGCTGTGGGGACTATGATGCATGTTTGGTGTCCGCGTGAGTTTTCTATGATTCTTGTAGGTTTTTGCGATTTCAGGTCCACGGCTTTCGGGTTTCAATGTTTAGCGTGGGGTCTTTCTGAGGGTCCGGGTATATGTGTTCAAGGTTTAGGGGTGTAGGTGTAGTATTGGGACAACATTAATGCGACAGGCTATTCAAATGATCCACGGGCATAAAGGAGCCTTCGTAAAGGACTACTTTCCTAGAAGCTTGCGCATACGAACATTTGCCCTGAACTGCAATGATACTCAGCTTGAGCATCTCGCGAGAATGCTCGTCAAAATGAGATAATTCTCACAACTGCAGGCACCAGTTCCTACACACATCGCGCGCAGGACAATCACTTTGAAGCTGCAACAGGGATCTCGAATTTTACGCCGTGATCAGAGCCTAACACTGCTTAGGGCCTTAGGGCTTCTAGGGTTTAGGACATTTCCCAAATAGAAAATCATATTAGATTGGAAATACGCATCTTTGTTGTTGGGGCGGAGGGTTGCTATCAGGCCCTAAATCCCCAAGCCTCTCCACCGTGAGGGGCAGGGGCATTTCACACGCAACGCTCATCATTGCATGTTCCCTGTAGGAAACCTCACTGTTGTGGGTATATTCAACAGCTCTGACAAAATGGGAGCAAGAAGTAGTGTGATACATTGGCAGATCTTCAATGCCAGTTATTCATTAGGGATATTATTCACCATGAACCACCCACTATTAAAGATGTATGGCAACTTCCCTAAAACAGGGGGACCCCAATGAAGACCCCAAACGACTACAATCCCATCATAGTGAGAAACTACCATGCATTCAGTAAGCTCCAAACCTTCTTCGCCCAAAGCCACTGCCACGCCATGGTCCTGCCTGATACATGGATGTTGGGAGATTTGAACATGGAGTACCATTAGATCCCTTTAAGGGGGTGTAAGGGAATAAGGGTTCAGTAATTTGGTGATTTGAATGTTTCTCCAAATGGAGCCGAGATGGCAAAGGGACTAGGGGGTACCCATTCAGGATTCTGCATCCCCAATACACGGTTTTGTCGAGGGAAGGTGCAAGATGGGTCAAAATACCATGGAATCACCCTGAATCTTTGAGTCTTGCTTGGCAGTTTCTTGCGCATCTGTCCATGAAGCCCATGTGCTGAGAGCCCATCATATGAGCGTGAAGCTGCTTTGACTCTGATGTTGATAGTGGAAATCCCGCCACATCCCACATTCCCTACATCCTGCTTACGGGGAGTAAAATAATTCAAAAGCTCTAGGTGGCGCGAGCTTTCCTCAGCCATCTGTATCAATTATAATCCCCAACAAAATGTAGATATAAATATAGATAGAGGGACTGATAGGAGAATTAATTGCAAGCGAGGTAGCCTGGGCTGCGCATGCTGCGGGGGCTGGCATTCGCCTCGGCCTGCCACCATGGATGCCCGCAGAAGGGGCTACGTAACTTTCAGGATGATGGTCATGATGGCAAGGAGAGCATTATTCCAGAAAACCTTGTGAAACACATACATAAAAATAGACATATCCATACACATATACATACATACACATACATATATATATATAATGTAAAGTTCCACTGATGTTGCTTCACTTCCTATGACCTTTACTATGGATTTCATAGCAGTCAGAGAACGGGATGATAACAGCCATTGATCCATAGCAATGGCAATGAGCTCCGCGCAGGCCCGGGAGACTCCGCTGGCCGACGTCTCCACACCTGGGCAAAGTGCCGCTGTGAAAGCTGTGAGCTCAGGATGTTTTGTTTAGGGTTTAGGGTTTAGGGTTTAGGGCTACGGCTACGATTCCATCTGCTTCTGTTTTACAATTCTGTGGCGACGACGGCTATGACTGTGGGGAGCAGGTCCGGCTGCTTCGACTATTCTTCTCATGTCAGTTGTGTTGGGCACATCGATTTCTTTTCCACGACCCAGACAAGGATGGGTTCCCAATCAGTTGACCTCCCTCTACTGCCCCTTTTCCATGACCTGTGCCCCTAGATTTCCACAAGGAAACTGATGCTATATCCATTTGGTGACCTAGCTTCTGAACAGCAACCCGGTAGAAGAGCTGCAAGCCCAAAACAGCTGGACAACCCCGAACTTTGTTCTGGTGGTGGTGTCGGGGATGATGATTCTTGGACGTCCCCTACGATCATATCAGGGGACCCCAAAGTCCTTCTACCAATTGCTTTTTCTTCCCGACTGGTTTGCCAGCCCTAAGCCCTAGCCACCCTAAACCCTGATGCTGAACCCTATACCCTATATCCAGACCCCCTAAACCGTATAATTTCCCCAAACCCTAAACCCTATATCCAGACCCTCTAAGCCCATACCCCAAACCCTAAACCCTTTCCCCTAAACCGTATAATTACCCCAAACCCTAAACCCTATATCCAGACGCCCTAAACCCTATATTTCAGACCCTAGACCTTATACTCTCTAACCTGATTCTAAGAGGCCTGGCCTGGCCATGGTTTCGAGCCGTGAGGAGCCCGTGGAAGGCCAAGCTCTGAAGGAGCCGGTTGTGGTGTTGGCTGATCACCTCCCAGGTTTGGGGCGGGAGGGTGGGGTGGGGTGGGATTTTGGGATTTGGGGTTTAGGGCCTGAGGGTGTGGGGGGTTGAGGTTTGGGGCGGTTTGGGGGGGTTAGGATTTTTGGGGGTTCAGGGTGTGCAGGTATTTTGAGAGACCGTGGCTTTCCAGAAAATCACAGCCTCTTTACCATCAAAGCCGGACTGAGAATGTTAAAGTTAACCCTAAGCCCTAAACCCCCTGGTCCGTGAGCCTTCCATCCTCGACCCTACACCCGCAGTCACGAAGCCAACTAGTGAAATCTCGCTTGCTGGGCTTTTACCCGAAGCACCTTCCACACCGAGTCCAAGTGTTGAGTCACCCAGGTGCGCTTTTGCTGCAGCGCAGCGGCCTGAAATTTCGGGCTTAGGAACTTGAGGAGTTTGGAGTTTGAGTGTAGGGTGGTTCTGTAGGGGGGCCGACGGAGTGTATGGGAGCTGTTGCTAAAGAAAGCATTATGTTCTAGGACGTCAAGATAAACAATACTGGAGCGGAAGAACCACATCAGCTCAAGGAGCAAAGCTTAAGGAATTCAATTGCGCCATGGTCTAAACTCCTAGTGTCCCCCCTCAATAACCCCTAGAATCCTCCTCTATGTGATCCCCTAAATTTAAATAACCCTCTTTGAGGAGTCTAGACTGCAGCTCAGTTGGGTCTAGGGGTTTGGGGCTCAAGGCTCTATGGCATCCTACGTATGTTTGATTTTGGAATTATCGGGCTTTCATACGGATTCTATAGCCCCTGTATAAGGATGATGTAGCCTTATCTTCGCAGACTTGTAAGGGTATGTAGCCTTATCTGCGCAGACTTTGCTTCTCTTCCCGCTGTTGTACGCACCGTTCTGGTTCCTGCACTCCTTGCTTGGCTTTCAGGGTTTTAGGGTCTGGGCTTGTTTTGGACTAGGGGTTGGAGATTCCGCGACGTTCTCTATAAGGTCCTTTTTGACTTCTTGGGCTTTTCTTTGCTAACTCGTCTGGCTGAAACCCCTGCAACAGAAGGATCCCGCACAAGACCCATAATTAGCCCACAAACCCTAGGATATCAACCTTTCGCCTTACAGTTTAAGGCCCTCCGGCATCTCTCGTCAACCCTGCTGACCATTATGAAAACAAACCGCCTGCAGAATCCCTACAGAAGAGCATATTGCAGTTACCCAAAATGGTGTCCTGTATAGAGAATATCATTCTTCCCCTATTTTGGGAAGAGCTCGACGTCTGGGATTTGAAAATCCAGCAAGCTTCACCCTTCAACCCTCAACCCCAACCCTAGTGGAACCCTGAACCGTAATGAAACCCTCAACCCTTTCTAGACTCTTTACATTATGCAGACCTTACACCCAAGCACTAATAACTCTAACCTAAACCCTAGCCCTTTAACCCTAAACCCAAACAAAAACCCTAACCCTAGACCCCAAAAACCTGAACCCTGCAAAAACTAACAAAACTCGGCCCCAAACCCTAAACCCCATTGTGGAGCTACCAGGAGCCCGGCCAGTTGCGCTGCCTCACATCGCGAAGCCACGAGGTCCTGGCGGGTGCGGTGCCTGGCTTCGGCCAAGGAGCAGCAGCAAGACCATAGTAGCTACGTGGTTTAGGGCTTAGGGTTTAGGGAAGTGGGTCCTGCAGTTGTAGGAGTCATCCCGCGTAGGGTCTCTGAAGAGTGGGATTACCTCAAGCGATGCGATAGAACAACGTAGGCGTCACTCTCAAGCTTCATGCAGACGTCATTTCAGAAACAACCGGAGGAGTAATCATCTCAGCAGTAGTGGCGACAAAAACAATTCTACAAAAAACGGGAGTAGGACTAGCAGCAGCAGACGCTTCGTGGTATGTAGAGCAGCTGAGATTAACAATTGCAATGGCCTTAGCCCCCTGCGTGCGCTCTCTAATCTTCATACAGTTCTTTGATCTTTCGGTTAGCACTTCTGTCCTGGAAGTAGGCTCCTCATCATGGTGGCTCACCCAAAATTTCCTGATCTTGCTTCGAACTTTCCCCTCCTTCCACTGCCGCTCCACTGTCAGTTCGGTCATTTCTGGCATCGTTTGACATTTCCCCTCAGTGCAACTACTCAGATTCCCACATTTGCTCTTCCATCATTGTCGATTTCATGACTGTTAATACCCTTGGTGTGCGCATTTTCCCATGTCTTCTGACTGTTGCTACTCATCGCCATGCCTGCATTGTTCTTGACGCTACATGGGCGTCTCCCAAAATGGGCTACAAAAACCCAGGTAGCGCGCTCATGGCGAGCCCGCAAAAGGAAATTTAATTTTTATAAACCCGAAAGCCTACTTACAAAGTGACCCTGAATGGTTGGACCCCCTAAATCCTAAACCCTAAAGCCTAAAACCCTAAGACCCTAAAACCTAAGACCCTTAAACCCTCAACCCCTAAACCCTTAAACCCTTAAACCCAAAAACCCCAAACCCTTAAAACCCTCCCCGCCCTCAGCAGCAGCAACTGTAAGGATGCCGGACCGGCAACTCCTCGCTCAAGTGCACGGCGCTGCTGCTCAACACGGACAGCATAGCTTCGCAGCTTCCCAGAGGGCTAGGTATCTCCAGAGGTGTATCAAAAATCAGTGGTTCTTGACGAAGGAGACTTCTGCAAAATTCGGATACTTTACGTGGAAACATCTGTTCCCGATTGGCTTTGTTTGAGTCGCTCGCCTACCTCAGTTGCGTTTCAGGCGGACGGGGGTGATGCCAGGTTCCAATGCAGACCAGCCAAGGCAAGTTGATACAAATTCCTGCACCTGTGGCCGAAAGAAACAGTTCTTGGCATGAATCGCACAAGCACCCAACATATAAAGGGATGCTACCCAACATGAAAACCATGTAGGGACTATGGCTTTTCCAGTCTAAGGAGGCTAGCCATGTGATGGATGCCCTCCACCAGGCCTTGGGTGATTTGCCACATCTGCATCTTTTTGAAGGCTCTCTGCCCAGCCCACAGAAAAGGGCAGGCAAAAGCGATAGAAACTAGCCCCAAACCAAAAGCAGCCGAAACAAAGGTACCGATTGACTAGGCACCTTGCAACATGTGTCTAACAATCCAAACTGTACGAAGAAAAGGATGCAGCCTAATCCCAGACGGGAAGGCCTGACACATGGACTAGTTAGTTTCTACATCCTCGCCCAAATGAACTACGTGAACAGTAGTGAGCCTGCTCCCACAAGAATTCTTCCAGCATTTTATGCTAGCACTCATTACTTGGTGCTGCATGGTGCTGATCCTCCAGCCGCCCCCCTACATGCTAGCAAGGCTTCTCCAGTAACAAGGTAGGGGCGGGCACAGGCATTTCGGCGTGTAAGCACTTTTGCACTATTGGTGAACACTCATGTTGGGTCCAGTCTTTGGGGCCTCTGGGATACTCGCACCATCACTTTGGGCGGTGTTCAAGGGAGCCTGATTTTGAAGATCCTGCCGGAATTCAGCAGGGGAGGTGAAAACACTCTATCATACCTACCATTCAAAAAGGGATTTGGGTAGTAGACCCAGCTCCAATGCAGCATTGGTGCACTTCGACAGATTGCTCCAAATCGCGTCCTCTGAGGTGAGCTAGCGGCTAGCATCGGTACCGAATCGTTTCAAGTTCAGAAGACGCCTTCAGTTCCACATCCTTGGCCTTCACGTCCTTACACGTGGCTGACTTGGATGATGTGGCCACGCAACGCCACGTTGCGGCAGCAGTGTAAGATCTTGGCTCTTGAATTTGCAGGTCCGCCGTGTTGCGCAAGGACGCTGAGACCCTGTGCGCAGCTGCATGCTCCTGCAACCTTTTCTGACGAATCCCCCTTGTCAAGTGCCCAAGGACAAGGAATCCGACAGAGTTTTCCGCCGCCCCTTGTGACGAACTAGCTCGTCCGGCGGATGGCTGGTGGGACTTGTGCCTCCGCGCAAGGACTTGGAATGTGGAGGTGGCTCCGAGTCTTCAGCCTGCACATCTGCCTCAGCAGCCTCAGCATCGCTTGGTCTCATGAAGCTGCTGACTGCCAGAAGCGACGCACGTTGCCCTGACAGGCGCCTCCCGCCGGGCTCTGCACCCGCAGCCTTCTTTGCAGCCATGCTAAAAGCATTCAGCATGCTGTGGCGTCGCCCGGATTTCGAGATACGCAAAGACTGTGAAGACGCTGGCGGGGTATCCCGTATAGACTGCGAAGACTGCGGCGGGCTGTCCGGTACTGTCGCGGTGACGGTGTCTCCTGTTTCCACTCGCCGCATCGAGTTGCTGATGTTCAAGTCCAAATCCTCCTCGCCGGCATTCAGAGTTGCCCGGGCCCTTGCTTGCGCCTTTGCCGCGGCACTGAGTGCCGTAACAAGCGTGGTTCTTCGGAGATCCTTACGACGAACTGGCTCTTCTGGTGCTTGACCAGAACTTGCTTGACCAGAACCTCCGCGCAGCGACTTCGAATGTGCAGGTGACTCTGCGTCATCGGCCACCTCATCTTCATCATTGCTGGATTTCATGAAGCCACTGACTGCCAGAAGGGACGCGCGCTGTGCGGACATGCGCCTCCCAAGCTCTGTTTTCCCTGTATCCCCTGTTGCCTTGCTGGCCGCCATGCCGAAAGCATTCAGCAGCATGGTGCTGTGCCTGCGCCCTGATTTCGGCGTGCGTGTGGACTGCGAAGACTGCGGTGGGGTGTCACCCACTGAAGCGGCGGTGTCCCCGGCTGCCGCCGACCGCATCGAATTGCTGATGTTCAAATCCAAGTCCTCCTCCTCGGCATTCACTGTTGCACCTGTTGCACGAAGTCTGCCTTGAGCTTTTACTGCTGCACTGAGTGCAGTAAAGACTGTGGTCCTTCGGCGATCCTTGCGGCGAGCTGCCTCATCAGGTGGTTGTCCACCGCGTAGCGACTTGGCATGTGCAGGGGACGTGGGGGACGCCCCTCCAGATTCCAATGAGTCCTCGGCCTGTACATCCGTCTGAGAATCGCTTGTTTTAATGAAGCCACTGACTGCAAGAAGAGATGCACGCTGCCCAGAGAGTCCCTTCCGTGCAGCCATACCAAAAGCATTCAGCATCGTGCTGTGCCTGCGCCCTGACTTTGGCGTCCGTATAGACTGCGAAGACTGCGGCGGAGTGTCTCCAACGGACGCATTGCTACTGGCTGCGGCTGACGCTGCTGACCGGAAGGAGTTGCTGATTCCCAAGCCGCCCCCACCACCGTCAGGTTCTGCTCGACTCATGATGTCCGCTATGGCCGCGGCACCTTTGGTCGCTGACTGCCTGAGGGTGGATGTTCCGTGGACATAAGCTCACACTATAGTACCAACACTACGGCAACAGCGATGACTAATAACACGCACGAAGCCTTATGAAGTACTGCAAAAGTGACCACAACTACAGCTACTCACTCGTGGTGAGGATGGACCATAGCACGACTACTAACCAAAACAATGACTATTGTGGAAATGATGCGGACAGGAAACAGCAGAAGGGTTCAAAGACAAGAGTCTCCCTGAAATCATGGGCATCCCTATGGAGGAGTTCTTGGGCTGGTCTCTTGAAGATTGATTATCTACAGCCTAACCCAACACCATGAGAAAAAAAAAACAAGCCTTCTTAAGCAGCGCCTACACCCCCAAGCCTCGTACATCCTAACCCCCATTACACCGGTGACTTTCGAAAAATTCCCGGCCAACCTCCTTGCCCTCATCACCGCTGTATCTGCCGCCTTCTTGGCAGCCGCCCGGCCCTGGCCCGCCTCGGGACTTCGACCCAAGGAGTCCATGTGACCCACCTCAAGGTCACCGTCCTCACGCAGAGTAAAGCAGATGCTGCAAAACTACCAATGTTGTGGTCCCAGGTTGCTCATCTAAGTCTAATTGTGTTATCCGGTAGGGTTTTGGGCTGGGCGCTTTGAGCTCAAGGGCTTAGGGTGTTTAAGGTCTGTGTGATTTGGGGTTTAGGGCCAAGATTCTAATCCTTTCGGGCTGCCATACATCTGGTCTCCCTGTTGTGGCACGACAATACCAGCCCCCAAAAAACCACAAACAAGTCCCACCCTGAAGATCCCCTAACTTTACCATACTCCAGGAATACAGTTGTTCACCATTTCCTCTTCCATTCCTCCGTTCCCTGCTAACTTTGCGCACCGGCGTGATTCATCAGAGGGGGTGGGGCAAGTTCAACCTTTTGGGGAAGTGAGAGTGTAACCAGGAGAGGTGCTGATGAGAAAGCATGGGAAGTCGCGATCAGACGATCAAGCGTTACAGCTGACCTGAACCATCCAACATAAGAATAAGGAGAACAATCATGCTTTCACAATCCAAGCTTGACCATATTCGCACTTGCAAAGAACCCTTAAGATTGGCGTTGCATGCCTGTCAAATGTCCTCCTTCGGTTTGGCTTTTTGGGGAAAGACCTCTGATCTGTAAACCCTATACCCCACACATCCCTAACCAGACAGGAAGAAGTCTCCTTGAATCCGGAGTAGGGACCCTCCAAAATCATCTTGTAATCCCTCCATATCTACATATCCCTACAGTCCCTAGGCCCCCCCGCCCACCAAACTTTCAGAGCTCAAACGAAT